AGCTTGATCACAATTGCCGGACTCACAGTGACTCTCAGATGTGTGTTAGTAGAATTACAGCCGTAAAATTCCCCCACACCTCGACCCCCCAAAAGCTCTTTTTGAATCCAACCATTACAGTGACCAGTTAGTGCTAAACCCAAGGCCAAGCAAGCACGAACACTTAACATCAGTACTTCATTTTCACAGCAACGCTTCCGATTAGTCGATGGTGTAAGCGAGACAACATTTGAGGAAATGAAAGGGCCAATCGAGATGCAGAAAAAAAAACAAAAAAAAACAACAACATGGTGGGCTTGATTTTTCAGGGTTTTTGAGTGTTTCATGTGTGAGCTTTGAGAAAGATGCACGGCAAATGGCTTTAGTCAACATTTCAAAGTGTAAAAGAGGAGAGGAGAGAAGAAACAGGAAGAAAGTGTAGGTGGCGAAAGGTGACGAAGAACTCAAAACAATGCAACATACTTTCTAGCACATGCAGTTCAAGTTTATTTGACAAAGCAGGAAATATCGCATAAAATCGACATTAAATTAAAATACCACCACCTTATGAGTGCTTTCAGGAGAATGAGAGAAAGACACACACCCTTTATATCTGGCTCATCTGCAAAGTTAAAAAAAAAAAAAAATTGAGAGGAAAACCATTCATTTATTTTCCTCCTTTGCATCTCTTATTGCTCCTCTCACCTACCAAGCAATAACTGTCCAATCAGAAAAAAATAACTGCAGCATGCACACGCATATATAAAGAGTGAGGAGCAGCGCAGGACAGAGAAGACCACTGAATCTTATTACGCAAACAGGAGTCATCCATCACACAGGTGTTCCCTATTGCTTTTAATTAATGACATCTCTGTGTGAACGTCTGACACCACGCATGGACACACACCTGTACACCATGTGGCCTCATGACTCCTTACTAATGAACAGTCTGATAAATATGTCTATAGCACAGTTAGAACCCTGTGTGAGGCTTTTGCTGCAAGGGTGCATCAACACACATCACAGCTGTGGCACCTCAAACATCACGGATAGATGGGTCGTACACACACATGCACGCCACGGGTCTGGTGATTGTGAGTAATACTCTTCTTTGTGCAGCTACTTATAAATGTAAATACTGTTGTCCCGAGTAGGGCTCAGAGACCGATAGTTTTGCGTTGCTGTCGAGGAGAGTGTTGATTGGCCTGCTCGACCCTCCCGTCTGTCTTAGAGTCTCCCTCTTTCTTTCTCAGGCACAGCCGCGTGTACGAACTCGCCGCGCGGATCAGGGCACCGGCCGGGCATTATTATCATCATTATTTTGAAGGCCGCCCTGCCCGTGCCCTATTACAATTCAACACAGCATCCACCTGAATTCGTCCTCCCTTCTCCAACCAGTCTCGCAGTGTTTCTCTCTCTCGCTGCCTCAGTCTTCTCATATTCCTGGCATTATTTCTCTCCTGCCTTGCGTGACGTGTCTCTGTTCACTCCGACAAGCCGGATGAATATAAAACAAGTTCCACCTTGGCATCGATTACCACACATGCACATGTGCATTGGTATGAGGAGTAAATTCTCCCTGCAACAGCTGGCTTTATTCCAGAGGTATGCATAGAGGTGACAGTGTCATGAACAAACACACGCACAAGCACGCACAGAAACACACACACACACACACACACAACGCACACGTAATGCCTACAGTTTCTTATGTGTTTGTTTATCCGCAGCCTAATTGCTTGAAAAATATACAACTGATAAATTAAGAGATATCAGCAGATATCTATTATGCAAATCAGTTAACTGCTGTGTTATTAAATTACACGCATACACATGTATAGCCACGCACACGCTCGCGTACGCGCGCGCTCACACTCGCAGCAGTGGTTAATTGCCAGGTGGTGGAAGATAATGTGTGATTTAACAGGCTGATGGATTTGTTTTTGTTTCGGTCACCCATCAATGAACACAGACATCTGTAACAGGGCAAACACACATGCACACACTCACTCTCACACAAACACGCAAAAAATATGCACACCGTTACACACACATTCATGCCCAGGGATATCAGTGACAAGTGACTGATAGGCGGTGGCACCAGCCTTTGTGCGAGACGCAAACGTGGGAAATGATCCATCTTATAGAAGTTTAAAAAAGTACACAGCAACGATGTGCGTGTGTTTTTACGTGCACACACAAAGCTGCGCATGTAAGTGGGCGAGCTAGCATGCGCACAAATGTAGGCCTGCAGACCCACATTTCTGCAAGCGTGTGTGTGTGTGTGAAATAGTTAATGCTTGGTAACAGTCTCAGCCTGTCTCTTGTGGTTGATGAGTGGCTTGGGGTCAGAAGCTGGTTGAGAAACTGCTGGGTCCTGAGGCTTTACAATGTGTTTACCACTCAATCTGACAGCAATACTACAGCTTATTATTGGCCTTCTAAACCTCCACACTACACTGCAAGTTAGAGAAACTCCAGGGAGGCGGATCGCCAACGGCTAAAGACACGCCAGCCAACCTTACAAATGTCGGATGTTGTGCTGTTGAGTACAGAGATTAAAATAAATGCTGGAAATAGGATCTGCGCTGCAGAAAAATGGTTCAGTAGTGAATGAAAGAGTAGATTAGACAGGCTCTCCTGCCGTTTATCTGTCTTTTATGTCCCACTGTCCATGGCCCCTTTGTCTCCTAACTCACTAAGTAGGCTGAATTGAAAAAGTTAGCCCCACTCACTGCTCGTGCATTGTCATTGTGCATGTGTGCAGTGAGAACGAGAAAGAGAGAAAAAGACGGGGAAGATCAGGGATGAGGCAGGTCCGCTGAGATGCGGCTTGTTCTTTAATTAAACACAGTCTTTTATAAAAGACTCACACTGCAGGGGCTAAGAATATTCTGCCACTGGGATGAAAACAGTAAAGGCAGGGAACCTGCCGAGAAAGAGAAGACTGACTGCTGGGCTCTGCAGTGCTCGAGTCCTGGACAGTAGGGTTAAAGGTTAGGCTGCTCCAGACTGCTTGAGTTCTTGCCCTGCTTTTTCTAAAAAAAAAAAA